GATATGACAGATATATTTTTAGATTTTCATTTAAATTTTAAATTTATTTATTGAAATATTAAGAGGTTAAATTTAAATAGATAAAATAGTTCAATTAATATGTGTTACTGTTAGTTGAGTTAATTAGTTATAAACTATTAATTAAGAATTCAATCTCTAAGAACAACATTTATTAATATTTACATATTAATATAAATTAAATTATTAATATTTGTAAATAATTTTATTTTTTGTCCAATTTTTATTATTTTCCTATTTTTCTTTGTCCAATTTCCTATTATTGTTAACCTTTGATGTTTGTTGTTTGCTATTTTTTAAAGACAACATTATTATTTTCATTAGTATGATTCTAATACTTTCTTTTTTTGTTGTTTTTGTTTTTTTTTTCTATTTTTGTTTGGTTGTATTTTTTTATAATGTTTTTCCATGTATTTTATTTTTAATAATTTATTTATTTATGTTATAAACTTTTGCAATTGTACTATAAAGAATGACAACAACCTTCTCTTTTCAACTCTCTTTTTAACACTTACTTCCTTTATTTAGTGGATGAAATTTATGTAGATTCCATTATATATATATATATATATATATATATATATATATATATATATATATATATATATATATATATATATATATATATATATATATATATATATATATATATATATATATATATATATATATATATATATATATATATATATATATATATATATATATATATATATATATATATATATATATATATATATATATATATATATATATATATATATATATATATATATATATATATATATTTATTTATTTTTCTTCTAAAAAATATATTACTTGTACGATTGTTTGACTTATTATTAACGACTGAGATTTAGTGTAAGTCTTTTACACTTATATCTGATGTTAATGGATCCTGAATATATATATATATATATATATATATATATATATATATATATATATATATATATATATATATATATATATATATATATATATATATATATATATATATATATATATATATATATATATATATATATATATTAGGAAACTTGAATTGATCAAAGATTGGAGGTTGCAAGATGCAACGGCGGACTTGAGCTTTCGATGCAGTGAGAGAGGGACTGATTTGTATGGTTAACACTCCAACACTCAAGTTAGCATGTGAGTAAAATGAGTGAATTAAGTTTGAATTTTAATTGTGTGCCAGAAAAATGGCGCGCTTCACTTTTATATAATGGAGCCTTCAGGCGTAGTATGTGAAAAGTCGTTGGATGAATCTAGATCCAAATCCCTTGTGCTTTGATCTAGGATAACACTCATACCATGCATGTGACTTGGTAGATTATTGTCTTCTTAGGCCGCAATTGTTGAGTCTTATGATCGGCCAAGAGTAATTTTCCCATAAGCTTTTGCCTCTGCTTTAAAGTGTAAAGGTTTTGTCACATTGGTCCTCGCGTGCAGGCTACATCTTGACTTGAATGGAAATCCAAGAGGTGGCATTGATGTCATTGGAAATATGCGCCTTAAATGCGCCCCATTCTACAAATGTATTTTCGAAGGTTCTATCATAACGATATTTGAAACTAAAATACTTGAGTGTTTTTTGAGGTGATATGGGACATTGATAGTGTTTATTATATTTCATTTAGTAAGTCACCACGTGATCTATGAAGATTCAGTTCGACAGTCTCTTAAGACGTTACCTTTGCTTTTTGTCATATGTACTTCCATAATATACCATTTTTTGTAGCCGGAAGAAGTGGTGTCTATCATGAGTAAAAAATTAAAAAAAGATGCTTCTTCTTCTTAAGTGGATCATGTTATTTCGACAACTTCCTCTAAATTTGCTCATGAAGGTAGTCTTGAGAGGGTGTTCTTTGACGTGGGTCCTTCGTCAGACTGGGTATACAGGCCCCTGAGAAAGATAAAATGATTTGTGGCGAGTATGTCGGATGCACCACTCTTTTCCATGAGCGCACTTTTTCGATCTTGGGTATTCATTTTCCCTTTAACAATTTCAAAATAGAAGTTTTTAACCACCTGATATTGCTTCATTGCAGTCGAACCTTGTGAATTGGGCTTACATCAAAGTATTCAAGTATTGGTTTGATTATCTTGGAGGAAAACACTTTTTATTTCTTCCATCTATTTAGAGTGCAATATAGTTCAACAAATCATGCACAAGGCAATGGTTTGATCACATCGGTGTAGGTTACCCATTATCTCGAAGTGTTTTTGGATAGCATGAAACATTTCAAAAATTGATTCTTATTGGTTGCTCATCTCCATAAAGAGGCTCATGCACCAATATACACCATAGGAAACAAAATAGAGAATATGTTTACTAGTTTATTTCATAAGTATTAGAACCAAAGTCATTTCCTGACGAGAAATGGATAATAGATCTACAAGGAAAAATATTCATTCCAAGAGGAGCTTTATCCAAAGAAACAGTTGGCCACTTTGTCAAAAAGTTGTTGTTGCCTAACTATCAGCCTAAGTGATAAGTTTTTTTTCTCAAGGTTAATGAAGGGTTGTTCTCTATTTAGCTCTTTAAGATTGTGGGTCTCCATGCACCTCAATTTTTCCCTGAAGGAGCTATCTTGCTACAAACCGTTCTGAAATATCCAACACTTGAGCCTCTCGGCATAGCCTCTCACTTCCACAACCACTTGTGTGAAACAATCGATGTATGATCGCAAACTTTTCTTCTTTCCCCTATGTGATCCCACTGGGGGGACCTATTATTAACATTTGCCTTTTTCGAGCCATGAAACAAGCGGTGAAGTTCTCGCATAAATCGATCCACAAGTCAATGCTCCCATCCAGCGGAGCTCTAAACCAAAGCCTAACTGACACTGTTAATGTTAGTGTAAATAGTTGGCACTTTGCTGCCTCATAGGAGTTGTAGTAATTCAAACAATTATCATTATTTTGCACATGTTTGTCGGAATCTCCTTTTCCATCATACTCTTTCAGCTTTAGAGATTTCTCTAAATATTTTGATATCTAGCTATCAAGGATGTGGGCATAAAAAGGATATTTCTATTGGTTCTTCATCGATAGTTTCTTTTCTTGTTCCTCAAGGGGAACATGACTACCTCGGCCTCCTCCAGGACTGTGAGGAGGAGTTTGATGTCTCTTACTTTGTTAATGATCCAGAGATTTCAAAAGCACATTTTGGAGAGACGCGGTCGACTCAAAGATGATTGTTCAACATCTTCTAAAGAAGACTTCCAGCATTGTGTTGCCTTTTGGATTCACATTGTGTATGATTTCTTCAAGACGAAGCAATCTTTCTTTTACTGTTTGTGTGTTTTGTTGAGAACTATGTTATACATAGCGTTCAACAATCCGTTCACGCCTTGTACTCTGAGATTGGATTATAATAACTAGAACCCAGGAAGTGTCTCTGATCTTGATACAACAGGCGATGCTGGAAGTCTGAACGAAGGTTCACCTTGTTGGAACTGCGGAACAGATCTTACGAACGAAGGAAGTCGAATGAGACCTGGATGTAATAGAATATTCACAATGACTTATGTTGCACCGCTTTGAGGAAGAGGTGATGGATCTCTAGTAGCTTGAGTAACAAAAGTTGCTTCGTGCAAAGCAGCTGAGCGAGTGGCTCTAGAACCTGCCATTGTAGGAGGATATAGAGGTTAGAGATTTAGAAAGTTGAGAATTAAAGTTGATATGCTACTGGAGTAGATAAAATATAAAGGATCCATGGTTCGATATCAAGAGAATCGACTTTCTAGGTTGAGATACTTTGATTCAGTGATTCAAAAGATGAGTATTAAATCGTGGAAAATACGAGAATCAGATGTCGATTTCCAAATACAACTTTCATTGGGGAATCAAAATTGATGAGAGATTAGAGATTACGATATGCAATGGCAGACTTGAGTTTCCAATGCAATGAGAGAGAGAAGGAGAGGCTGGTCTGGAAGGTTATCACTCCAACACTCAAGTTAGTATGTGAGTAAGATGAGTGAATGAGGTCAACACTCAATACTCAAGTCAGTATGTGAGTAAGATGAGTGAATGGGGTCAACACTCCAACACTCAAGTCAATATGTGAGTAAGATGAGCGAAAGAAATTTGAATTTAATTGTGTACGTGAAAATAATGTGCTTCCCTTTTATATAGTGGGACGATTATAACAACTCGCAAATCTTCAGACGCATGATGCAAGGAGTATAGATCCTGAATCCAGACCCCCCGCGCTCTGATATAAGATAACCTCATCTCCTACCAGTGACTTGGTAGAATATTGTCTTCTCTGCATCACAATTATTGAGTCTTCTGATCAGCCTAATATATATATATATATATATATATATATATATATATATATATATATATATATATATATATATATATATATATATATATATATATATATATATATATATATATATATATATATATATATTTTAAATTATAAAATTACTATTGATAGATAGTTTAATTTAATGTTTATTTTTAGATGTTTTATAAGGATTTATTATGAACTCTCAGAAAGAAGAAAAAGTATTTGAAAAAATAATATATTAAATTATAAATATGTGTTTTGAAATTTTAAAGATAAATTTTTCTTTTAAAATTGATTCCTACTCTTATAAATTAAATATATTTAATTAAAATTCTACTCCCCCTCTCTCATCTTGTATATCAATACATATTTAAATACTTTGAATATTTTCTTCCTTCTTTTTTCAATCATTAAAATCCTTCATTACTCCCACTTTCTTTGAACCAAAGGGATAACGAAGGAGCAAGCTTGCTATGCTAATCATAAAAAAATGTTTTCATTTAATAATTAAAGAGTAAAAGGCAATCAATGGCTTTTTTCACGAATCACTTTCTCTTTTCAATTTTATTTTAGTATATTCATTACGTTCTTCAACTCTATATATAAACAAATGCTATACTTTCTTTTTGCCGATGAATATTCCGGTCAGTATACAAAATAACCTCACCGCGAAATGGACGAGTCATGGAGAACTCCAATGGGATTAACGTCGGCACTTCCTCGCCGGCGATCAATGGAACACCGATCATCTTTACGAACACGGCGGTCTATCTTCTCCAACACTGGCGTCTCCGAAACCGAAACGTTGGACGCCGCCGACTTCGCCGACGTCTTCGGTGGTCCACCTAGAAGCCTTCTCACGCACAAATTCTCCAGGTCAGGTTCTTTCTACGAGGAAATTTTCAAGCAGCCAGTGTTCATGCCGCCGGCACCAGCTAAGGAAGGCCGGAGCTTGCCAGTGTTTAGGATCCCAGCGCAAGATGACGCGTTTTATGGAGATATTTTCGGGTCGGACGATGACCGGAGATCAAGAGAACGGTCAGGGTCACAATCCAATGCAAAATCAAAGTCGAATTCTTCGTCGGCGCTTAGTTCTGAGGAGCTGAGTCCTCTCCGACAAGAGATCAGTGATGACGTGGCACTATCAGCCTTTGCTTCAAAGCTCAGGTACTGAAACTGAAATCCTAACCAACTTACTGTTTGTGATTCAGTCTGTTACGTTAGGAATTGACAGATATGCCCTTTGTGATATAAGTGGTAACCTATAAAATGAATAAATGGGATTAGTTTTTATCGGCAGATTTAGAGGATTTAGAGCTTAGTAGTCGATGAAAATGGACTCCGTTAGTAAAGAGTTGCTCTTATCACGTATAATCTATGAAACACGAACATCGAAAATATGACCCTGACAATGACAGACCGACATCTTTAATATTTTTAAAATTAAAGGTAATTATAAATGTTGATGTCGATTTTAGATACAGATACATTTTTTTCCAGAAGTGTCCGTGCTACCGCTCGAAAGTGAAGGATCATGATAGTCCAACTCACTTAAACTTTATTCAAACTTTATTCAATCAACTTATAGCTAAGTTTTGATATGAATATACTTATTTTTTCCTAATTATAATGATTGTTACAGGCCAATCAAAGTCCCATATAAATGGAACTCATCAAGTGTAACACATGAGGAACATCCAATTAAACAAAAGAGGCCACTTTTTCCATGTAATGGTCTATCATTTGAGTTCCAATGTCAGGATAATGGGTGCTCAAGAAGAGTCACATCCCCGGAAACAATTAGTGCTGAATCCAATTCATATCAAAGCATCAAATTATCCACATATGATTGGGAACTCAGTCCCCCGTTTTCCGCTGTCTCTGGAGTTTGTCAAGAACCGGAGTCAAAATTTTCGGTTTATGATCACGTGCTTCCGGAACTAGTTATTGACCATGATGAGGAGGATGATGATGATGATGAAGTTATGAGCTCCTATGTTATAGAGATTAACTCTAGTTTTAGAGAGGAAAATTGCGGAACTGAAGCCATTGATGATGCGATTGCATGGGCGAAAGAGAAGTTTCATTCGCGAACTAATGAAGAAACAGGTCTGAGAGATGATGGCAATGAGAAAAATACTGGAATGGAAGGTGATTGTGTTAACCACACAAATAGAAAAATGCCTTATACATATTTAATGCAGAATAGATATTTTGAAATAGCCAAATGCAACATTTCATACTTACCTCTGATCATCTAATGCAGGAAGGCCTTGTGCAGGTGAATACCAAGATGGAATTGTAATGGTCGAATCTCCAGAGGTAATACATTTTATTAGGTTAGGATAAGACGCATTTGATTTTAGTAGATATGTTCGTTGAAAGAAATGGTAATAAAAATTTGATTCGAATATGCATGATGTAAGGTTATTTGTAAAAGTAGTAAACAATTTGTGCTTCCGCAAAAGGAACAGACAGAAACAGAGAAGTTAGACAGAGATATAAGAATGTGGTCATCTGACAAGGAAGCTGACATCAGGGAACTGCTTTCGACACTACATCATGTAATGCTGCTTTATTTTTTGTTGACCTATTATCCTTGACGATTTACTCAAATGTTTTTGTAATTTTATACCACTTTGATGAACGCAGTTACCAGGAGAATTGACATGGTTGTATCATTGTATGAATTCATTTGACAGATTCTGTGGCCTGAGAGTGGCTGGTCTCCTGCTACTTATATGAGCCTAATAGAAAGCTCACAAGTGAAGAAAGCGTATCAGAAAGCAAGGTTATGCCTCCACCCCGACAAACTTCAGCAAAGAGGAGCAACTCTCTTACAGAAGTACATAGCAGAGAAGGCTTTCTCCATTCTTCAGGTATGATCCCTACAAATTAACCACTAAATTTCAGCTTCTGTATGGCTCAAGCTTCAACTTCTATAGATTGTAGTAGATAGATATTGATTGATAAGACTAAGGATCAAAGTGAAAGTTAAGTTCATATTTTCTGTTTTGTACCAGGATGCATGGACAGCATTTATTTCTGAAGAATTTTCCTTCTAAACAGAAAATTACTCGTAAAGCCGGATAACTCAGTTTTGGTTTAAAGCTTGGGATGAGACCTAACCCCAGGCATTCAGAATAATTGAAGTGTTGGTTTCCATGCAGCAAATATATTAGTTTTCAAAACCGCAATTCCTTTTGTACAAATAGTTGTATGATGCAGAAGCTTCTACTGTTTTTTTCTTCCTTCTGTTTGTAGCATAAGTTGTTAACACTTTTGTAAGTATTGTCTTTTAAGTATTTAAGAGAAAGTAATTTGATTTCTTGTATTTGACTTGTGTGTGATAACATGGAGCCAAGAGTTCAGTTTTTTTGCTATTTAATTGAACCCTACTATTTCATTAATTGCAGTCATTTACAATGAGTTCAGGAATTTAAATCACAGCCGCCTCACAATCCTTAATATTACATAGAATCGCGGATAAATGTGGCTTACCCGACTTCGATCGAATTACATTAGCAACAACTTATGACAGCATTAGTTATGTCATGTAAGGAATCAGTAAAAAAAAAAGAACTAGAAACACATACATAACATATAAACAGTTTGTCAAATTTATTGATTCACATAGACAAATACATATATATTCATCATAATGCTCCTAATACAATAATCATCCACCTCCATTCCCTTTCTTTATCAACTCCCTAAACTCATCATCAGTACTTTTAAGCATCAATGACAAAGGCAAATTGACTCCACTGTCAACAACCTCCTTGTGTCTAACTTTGATCCTATTCTCCAAACTAAAAGAGAAATACTGAGGAAACCCTTTCAACTCCTCCAACTTCCCTCCCATTTCCACAGAAAAATACTCAAACTTTGGCTGAAAATTATTCTCAATACTAAATGTCAACAAAGGAGGACACCTCAAAACCATAAACCTAGTCTCTTCTTTAGTAAATCCCATGCTCTCCAAATGCTTAAGCTTAGGAATAAGTGTCCTTTCAATATTGGAAACCAAAAGAACAGAATCTTGATAAGCCAAAGCCTCTAAATCCCTTAACCCTAATCTCTTTAAATAAAACAAAGCTGGTTTAAGCTGATCCACCACGCTAGAAGTAAGCAATCTTGGACACTTTTTCACAACTTTTCTAAAGTTATAATCAGGCACTTTAAGTTCACGGACAAGAAAATCAAAAACTGGGATGAGATCAGTTTGGATGCTTGAAGTGAGAATCTTTGGGCACATGCCAAAGATTCTTGGAAGATCTTTATGTAGGATGCCGTGGGAGACAAGGAAGGAGATAATGGAATGAATGGATTCTATGGAAGCTGTGTGAAGGTTAGGGTTTTGGGAAAGTGCTTTACCTGAATCAATGCCCATTACTTCAAGACATAAGATTTTTTCTTTGAAGTGAAGGGAGAGTTTTTCATGAGTTTGTGTGTAAAGAGGGTGGTTTTGGAGGAGGCTTTTGGGTTTGGGAGTTAAATGGGTTGTGTTTGGTTTGGAAATTGTTGAAGGAGATTGTGATGATGGTTTATCTGAAGCGACTGTGCATAGTGAAGGTGAGTGTAGAGCTATGGTTCTTACAGCTTGGAACATGGTGCTGCTGAGGATGTTTGGATAGTGTTGAGGATGTTTTTGTAATATGGAGAGTTCGGAGGTTAGCTATGGAGCATGACACGTGGAGATGTCTTTGGAAATTGATTGGTTGTGAAGGGATTTTAGAGATTGTTATGAGATTGAGTATCATCCACTAGGCACTTGTTCCACTTGGTATAATAATTTTAAATTTTAAAATATATTACTAATAAATATTCATTCAACATTTTCTTCCAAGTTTATAAAATTTATCCATTTTTCTCTACTTCATTTTCTCATAAATTATATATTCTCATTCCTTTTAAATTCACAAAGAGAATATTCATCAAGAATTTTTTAGGATGACCATAGTAGGAATTAGGGGTGTTTAAAATCGAAACAATTCAATTAAAAATCGTAAATCAAATCAAATCATAATTCCAAAAAAAAACACATTTAGTTCAGATGTGTTTAAATTACTTTTTAACAAAATTGTACTGTTCGATTTGGTTTGCAGTTCGCATTTTGCAAACCAAATCAAACAAAAAAAATCACATTATGTTACCACTCAAATTTCACTTATCTCATACTTAACCAAAAACACAAACATATTATGCTTTAACTTTACAATTATCAACAATTTTTTCTTACTCACACTTCGGGTTTCACTTTTAACCTTCTCAAATATATCATAGCAGTATCGTGCATTCTTTTCGTCTTCTTTGTCATGTACATCTTGTCTCTTCTACTTTAATCTTTCATCTCTTATGTTATATCTTTTTCATCTTCTTATTTTATGTTATTGTTCTCTCTTCCAAATACGTTTTTACCATACATTTCTTCTTTAATCTCACTTCTCTTTTACTCTTTCTTTTTCATCTTCTCATTTTTATGTTATTGTTCTTTCTTCCAATTACGTTTTTATCGCACATTTCTTCTCTAATCTCACTACTCTTCTGTTCTTTCTTTTTTTCATCTTTTATGATCTCTCATCTCATATGTTTTTCCGTTTTACTATATATTTTTTATATTTTTTTATGATATTATTTTATGTTTTTATTCCACTTTTGTCTAATCTAATTTTTATATATTTAATGAGCAGTTTTTGTCCAAATATGATGAGTTTATTGTTATTGTCCCAATGTTATTTTTTCAATTTTAAAAAATTGCCATAAAGAAAATTATCGGGACGAGTCGTGTACTAGCACTTTCTTTAAAACATTTCGTCCTACTGCCAATAATTGTGCAATGCAGCCGAGTTTCGACGACGTCTTCAAGATAAAACAACCCGTTCAAAATTACGACTATCACTTGCATTGTAATAAATCGTTCAAAGAGGTACACCTTCATAGGGTGTTTTAAATGAAGAGAATGTAAGGGATAAGGGAGATTTTGATAGGTTCAGAAATCTACCGTAAATTGCAATTTTTGGGAAGAATCCTATTTATAGTCAAGGATTTGACCCGATGGAGAGAAATAATGGGAGGAAAAAATGGAGGAAAATGTGAGAGAGTGGAATCAGCTCAGTCAAAATAATCGTTACGCACTTGGTCAGCAAGGAAGTAGGGAGGCTTGGTCAGCAAGGTGAAAACGTGGTCAAAGTTACCGTTAATTAATTAATTCATAATTACAATACACCATTATTAATTAATAATTATTAATTAATTTTCATTACACATAATTAATAAATTAATTAATATTAAATAGTTTTTTGGGTGCCAAAAAAACTGGATTAACCCCCAAGCCCAAGACCAGACCGGATCGAGCCGAGCAGGCCGGTCGGACGGACGTCGGCGACGCGCACATGCATATTTTGTTTCCTGGTGATGTGTTCTCACCCAACCACAAAATTGGGTACCCCTTAGAGCCCAACTCAATTTACCCAGTTGAAATATATAAATACTACTAAAGTGTGCTCTCCCTCCTATATGGGACTTTAATGAACCTTTTCAAATTCACTCACTCTATTTCATACTTGTTCTCATTTATTGTTAACTTAATGTCATTAACTTCTTCCAAGTCCCCACTCCAAGTTATTATCACTCCAAATAGTTCAATAATCTCCACTTGAATTTAAAAGGTGATTGTACAATGAACGTCAAACGTTTCTAAGATTGCACATAAGTAAAGGTGTCTACGACTTGAACCTTTGCGTAGTAGATATGATTCTGATTCAAAAAGAGTGACACCATTGTCTTGAACTCTATCTAAGACATCAAAACCACACACAACCTTTTCTTAAGGTGTATCCTAATATCCTATGCTTTAATGGACATGCACGTGTATCCCAGTTTAGTAAAAGCTCAAGGAATTCTGCCTCAAAATTCCATAAGAACCAGCCTAAGTTCCATAATCACAAAGGTGGGTCTATCAAGAGTACTCTTATAGCCTAGGTACGCCCTGATACAGAGTATGGATCTCATTAATAATTTTTATTATCTCATCCTCTTATTACTTTAGGATTCATGCTCCACTTGCATGATCATCTCATATTGCCCACGACTTGTTATTATCCATTAAACTTATTTCTTGGGATCTCCAGTCATCTAGGTCGGGTTACCATCATGAGAAACTCATTTCTTTATATGCATTACTCCTATCTTCTTGGATGTATTATGGAATTTCTTTCTAGCTAATCCTTTCGTCAAAGGATCTGCTAAGTTTTCATCAGCGCGTACATGATCCACTCTTACATCTTCTTTAGAGATACAGTCTCTAACAGTTTTATGTTTTCTTCTAATTTGACGTCTTTTGCCATTATAATAACGGTTCTCAATTTTCACAATAGTCGTGGTACTATCATAGTGGATCAACACATCTGACATGGTTTTTTTTTCGATAGAGGGATATCTGCTAGCAAGCATCTTAACCAACTTGCTTCTTCACTAGTTGTGGCTAGTGCTATCATCTCAGACTTCATTGCGGAATGAGCCAGGATAGTTTGTTTCTTTGATTTCCAAGATACAACTCCTTCAGCTATACTAAATATATACCCACTAGTAGCTTTAGAATCATCCGATAAGGTGTTCCAATTTGCATCATTGTGTCCTTCTAGTACAATAGGAAATTTTTGGTAATGTAGGCCGAGATCCATGGTCCTTTTAAGGTATTTCATGACTTGCTCAATAGCTTACCAGTGCTCTTTACTTGGTTTAATCGTAAACCTGCACAACAATCCTACGACATATGTTATGTCAAGTCTAGTACAATAAGTGGCATACCTAAGACTGCCAATGATACTCGCATATTCTGTTTATCTAACACTTTCACTAGTGTTCTTAAACAATTTCACACTCAGATCATATGGTGTGCATGCAGCTTTATAGTCAAAATATTTCTATTTCTTTAAGATCTTCTCTATATAGTATGATTGATCTAAAGAAATTCCTTGTTCAGATCTTGAAATCTTGATACCAAGGATCACGATTGCTTCTTCGAGGTCTTTCATATCAAAGTTGTTGCACAACAATGATTTCACATCATTAATGATATGAATGCTTGATCCAAATGTGAGTTGATCGTATACATAGAGACATATGATAGTGCAAATACGATTCTCAGATTTGTAATAAACGCATTTGTCACTTTCATTCACTTTGTACCCATTCAATATCATTAATTTATCAATTTTTTCATGTCATTACTTAGGAGCTTATTTTCTTGTCCATAGATCACAAACCCTTATGGTTGGTCCATATATATTTCTTCTTCTAAGTCACCATTTAAAAATGTTATTTTAACATCCATTTGGGTATTATTAAGTTATAACTAACAGCTATTGAAATAAGTACCCTAATGGATGTAGTTCTAGTGACTAGAGAAAAGGTGTTAACGAAATTTATATTTTCTCTTTGTCTAAAACCCTTGGCTACAAGACGAGCCTTGTATTTATCAAAAGTTCCATTAGGTTTTAGTTTCTTTTTCAAAACCCATTTACAACCGATTAGTTTACAACTAGGAGGCAAGTCTACTAAGTGCCAAGTCTTGTTAGATTCTAGAGATTCTATCTCATCATTAATAACTTCTTGCCATAAATCTGCATCCAAAGATAACAAGGCTTCTTGAAGATTTATTGGATCTTCATCTACAATATAATACGCATAATCAGGCCCATAACCTTTAGTAAATCTTACTCTTTTACTTTGTCGAAGTTTCGTTTCTACTTTTTCGTCGCTTTCTGTGCTTCTTATTACAAGGATGTGACTCGATTTAGTGCCCCCACTATTTCTCGATTTGAAGAGAAATTTGTCTTCATAGAATTCAGCATCATTTGATTCTGTGATCACTTTTTCACTTAGGTCATAAAACCTATATGCCTTAATGTTTGCTGCATACCCGATGAATACACATTCATAGGCTCTACTAGCGAGTTTAACTCGTTTCAGATCCAGAATTCTGATATAAGCCAGAGAACCCCAAGTTCTCATAAATTATATATTCTCATTCCTTCTAAATTTACAAAGAGAATATTCATCACAAATTTTTAGGATGACCATAGTAGGAATTAGGGGTGTTTAAAATCGAAACAATCCAATAAAAAATCGTAAATCAAATTAAATTAAATTAAAATTGCAAAAAACGACATTTAATTTGGATGTGTTTAGATCAATTTTTAACAAAACTGTACTGTTTAGTTTGGTTTGCGGTTTGTATTTTACAAACCGAATCAAATCAAACCAAATGTATTATATTACAACTCAAATTTCACTTATCCCATAGTTAACCAAAAACGCAAACATATTATGCCCGAGCCTTACAATTACTAATGATTTTTTCTTATTAACACTTAGAGTTTCACTTTTAACCTTCCCAAATATCTCATAACAGTATCTTGCATTCTGTTGAGAATCGGTTAGAAATCAATTAGTATTAATTTGCATTCAATTTTTCATTAAGTGTAAGTTATGTTATTACCTATTGTGTATATCTATTTTGCATATAAATATACAGCATGTGTGATCATATTTGACACACAGAAGTACAATCATAATACACTCTTTTAGTTTATTCTTTGTCATGTA